TACCACTGAGCTACATTCTCAGACCTTTATTTAAAGTATCAAAACAAAAAGTAAAACTTTAAATGTACAACAATAAAATGAAACCTATGTTAGCTCCCTCAGCCTTAACAACTAAGACTTAAATGACGATTTTGTTCATTTGTCCTTAATCCCACCCCCAACTTAGATTCAGGGTCTTCCTATGTAGCCCAGGCTGGCTCCAAACTCACAGCAATCCTCCTGGTTCAGCCTCTCAAGTGCTGGGGTCAGGCATTTACTTGTACTAAGCCCACTTACCCTCTCCCTCTCTTCCCCAACTGTTTTAGAGCCAAGTCCTTGGTGCAGTCACAAGGAAGGAGAGAAGACCCTAAGTTCATCAACACCCTAAGTTCTAAAGCCCTGAGGTCTCTTCAGAGGATGTAGGAGAATGAGTACAGAATCAAAAAGAGAGGGTTAGGCTAGAAATATTCGGTCACCAGCACTGAAATCAAGATCCAAGCCACCCCTGAATGGCATCAAATATAAACAGGGGAACAGTATCTTCTGCTGCCCTTCATTAAGGACACAACCAGACAAAGTGCCACCAAGAAATGCTATGAGTTTACAAAAGCCTGGAGAGTTTTTATCTCTTTCAAGTATTTCTCTCCCTTAAAAGATATACAGTTACTAAAGTATTTAACCAAATACCTAAAACATAGATGTATTTTATTTAACATCAAGTTTAAATACTGACATTGTAACCAACTGCAAGTCTACTTTTCAAAGCATTTGTTAAAAACTTGTAACACCATGTATATTTCATTATTTTTTAAAGTGTCAAAATCTGTTTTATAATTTCTTTCATATGTATATTTCACAGGAAAAATTTAAAATAAATTTTAAAAAGAAAATACGATCCCTATTTGAAATAACTGTGACAGATGATGGTATATCTTAGAAACATTCGGAGCTTCAAACACACATAAGAATATTTGTACACTAAAAATATTTTATAAGCTCTTTAGACACCACGCTGTGGAATCAGAGACCGTTTACTCTTACATTTTAGTTTTTACCCCCAAGTATCAAAATTAGTTATGATTTATTTATATTCCACTTCAATCCCTCCAAAAATTTGGACTCAAGTTCCTTAAATCATAATTTTATAATCTACTTTAAAAGAATTTCTAAAAATTCCAAATAGTTTTCATAAGCAGCTCAATAAAGATTAACCTTTTTAAAAAGGTATTTGTGACCTGGGAATGTGTAATGCAGTATTATCTCTTTGATATTGGTCACCAAAAAGAGGTACACTTTTTTAGAAACAATAGATTTTCAATAGTTCTATACTGATGCTTCATCATTGATTAAAGGGAGCCCAAATCTACTTGAACTGCAAGTCTCATTGGAACACTTCTAACAACGTTCAGGATCTTCCATGGCTCAAGCAATAGACAAGAAACACAGGTGTGCAGTCTTGTATATTACAGCAGCACTCAACTCAGTTTTCAGAGCAACATTCACTTTTTTTTCTCTTCAGGAAACAAAAGTAGATGTGTTTAAAAGCAGTCTGAAGTCGGGCTGTCCTGTGTGACTGCCATTTCACTGAGATGACCCGACGACCGGAGAGGACCGGAGCACTGCTGGCCGCGGTTCTGCTCCCGAGCTTCCAAGCACTGCCCTGATGTGTTTTAAGTAAAACCCAACTCTTATTTTTAAAAGCACAATTAAAGAAAACACTGGATCAAAATGGAATGTGTCTCTCCTACACCACACACACACACACACACACACACACACACACACACACACACACACCCCACACACACACCAATGTTTCTTTTCAGATACCAGTAACTATCAACACAATGATTAAAAGGCATAATTGCTTCCTCAAGAACTATCTATTAAAAACAGGCAAGGAACTCTGGTTTTCAGACCCCCCCAACATTTATCTAAACACATTGTTTCTCTAAGATAACTGAAGTAACTTCCTATTGTCGAATAAGAAATTCATTATTATGCAATATTATTGAAGTTGGTGGTGATTTTTATTATTGTTGATCTTGAGACTTTTCATTTTCATATGAAATGCTGAAATTTATGAAGGAAGGGAGGCAAAGTGTGAAAAACACAGAATCACTTGTAACTTTTCTAAGTTTTTTCTTTCTTTCCGGGGGCCATGGGAGGGATTTTTCTTTTTGAGGTAGGGTCTTCTGCAGCCCAGGCAGATTTTTAATTTACTATGTAGCTGAGGTTGGTCCTGAACTCCCGATCTTCCTGTGTCCTCCTGCCTGCTCCTGAGAGCTGTGCTTACAGGTTTGTGTCACCACAGCCGGCTAATTAGAGAACTTCATAAAGATATGTCACTGCTATTCTTAAATCAATCCTACATCAAAAGTCAAGTAATTCTCTGGTCTTGAATGGTAATCATACAGATTCTCTTTACCAATAACGTATATATTAGCTACAGTTATATATCAGATACGTTTTATTTCCACATCTTTAAACACAACCTTGTCACCAGACATCCTTGCTTGACATCATTAGCATTATAATTAATTCTTCCAGTTAGTAATGAATTTATCTTTTATTTTTAAAATTGAAAGAAATCACAACAGCTGTGGAAGCGGCTGTTTCCCACAAATCACATGGTGCATGTGTTGGGGGGGGCAGTAATTTTTCTTTTAAACAAAAACTTGGTGTTTCGGTTTGGTTCAGTTTTGGTCTCTGGATTACAGCAGGCGTGAATCTGCTGACACTCATTAAGGTTTTCACCCGTTTTATTCTCTCAATCAGATCCCCCCCGGTTTGCTCTAAGGATTTTGTCAAAACAAACAAACAGACAAACAGACAAACACGCGCCCGCACACACCGACAATTCAGAAAACCCGCGTTTTCCCCAAACCCTCGGTACCAGTACCGAGTGCCAGAGAAGCGCTCCCACGAGCCCTGGGCTTCAACAAATTAACTCTCTGGGCTTCAACAAATTAACGCCGCAGTGCTCCGGAGAGAGTCCGGCCCAGGCGGCCTCCGGGCTGGCCCACCTGTCCCCCGCAAGCCCCGCACGCCGGCCCGCCGGCCCGCGTCCGTCCCAGGGCAGGCCTTTGCGGCCCGCAGTGCGAGCGGGCGGCCAGGCGCGGGCTGCGAACCGAGCGCCCGGAGATTTCGTTGAGCTCCCTGCAGACGTCCTCCCGCGGCTGGGGCGCCGAGGCCGCTCGGTCCCAGCTCGTGTGGCCAGGCTCCGGTCCAGACACACTTCAGGCTTCCCGAGACGGGTGACCCCAGGACGCTGCCCAACCCGCGCCCGCGAACAGGTGGCGGCCGCCCCGGAGGGCCCGCGCGCGTCCGCGCCGCCCTGTGCCCCGGCGCGCGCCCCGGCCCCGCGCCCGGGCCCCGCGCCCGGGCTCCTCGGCCGCCCCCCCGGGCTCCCGCCCTCCCCGGCTCCCGCCCCAGGCCCCGGGGAGAAGCACGTGCCCGCTGCTCCGCGAAGCCTCGTGCTGCAGGCGGGAACCGAGCGAGCGAGCGCCCGCCCGGGGAGCCCAGGCCTCGGTCTCCACCGACGCTCCCACCCACCTCGGCCCCCGGTGGGAAGTTCGCGAACCGCCCCGGCCAGCCTGGGGCGAAACCCAGGCCCGGGGGGGGGGGGGGTGTCGGGTACCCCGCCCCAGAGGCTACGGCAGGCCGGTCTCCTGGCTCAGTTCCCCCCATCTCCCCCCCGGGGCCTCTGGGGCGGCGGCTGCGCCCGGGCCGCCCGGGGCGGGAGCTGAGGGGCGGCCGGGGCGGCCTCCCCAGCCCGCAGCCGGGGCCTCCAGCCCCGCTTCCCGCGAACGTGCGGGGCCCGGCCGCCAGGGGCCTGCGCGCACCAGGCGGGCCGGGCGGGGCGCCCCGGGCCCTGTCCGCAGCGGCCGCGCGGCCAGAGGCTGGCCCTCCGCCCGCCCTGGGACGCTCTGCTGGAGAGGCTGGGCCTGAGGCGGGCCGCCCGGCCCCAGGCGGGCCACGCTGGGGAAGGCTTCCCCTCAGCCCCGGCTCGAAGGCCTGCCACCTGGCCGGCGCGACCCCCGGCCTCACACCAGGCTCACGAAATAGGAGGAAGGGGGGACGCGGCCGACTCCGCGGGCAACTTTTCGTTGTCTCCTCGTTTCCTCCCGCCCGTGGGCTCGGCTTCTGGGCCTCACACTCGGGAGCCGTCAGAAGAGTTGGGCAGGTGTGGGCCCTGGGTTTTCTCGGGCGGCCGACGTTATTAACACACTTTCCCTCCCGTTTAGCCCCCCAGCCTTGGCGGGGAGGAAGGGTGACACTGACAAGCCCTGGTCTCCCCCAGACGGAAGGCCAGCTGCCCTCCACTCAGGGCTGCAGGCCCGGCGTCTTCCTCCTCCGAGGAAGTGCCACTCGTGTTGGTCCATTTGTGTTTAGAGGTTCTAAAGAACCTCTGGGGAAGATAGTTTGGTGACTGGACCACTTGTGGTGCGAACGAATGGTTTAGAAGGACTAAGGTGGTTAGTGAGCACGTGGTTGGAGTCTAGGACCCCACAGCCGCCGTGAAGCCACCCGGGACGGCTCGGCCGAAAGGACGCTTCTCGGCTGCCAACGTGCAGGACACAGATTTTTTTTTTTCGTTTTGTTTTCCTTTTTGGCTCGGCTCAGGGAGCCTTACAGCGGTATCCTTTCCCGCCTCCCGACCCTCTTCCCCTCCCCCTCCTCTTCTTTCTGGTGCAAGCAATTAGGGTGAAGAAATCGGTGCCAGGCTTCTGCCTCTGAAGAGAAAGGAGCTGTTTCTGGGATTGAGTCCTGACACCTGTGTCTGTCCTAGATGGCGAGGAGGTGCGGGGGTCAAAACCTTGGAGGGGGAGAGGCTGGGCTGCTGCCGCCGAATGTGGGGGGGAGAACACGCCCTAAAAGAACGTTTTGGGGGACTCTTGCTAGGACTTCCCGCCTTATTCTTCAGCCTCCAGCTTCGCGCAGGGTTAGTAACAGCTTTCCTCCCTCTTAGTCCCCCGAGACCGAGACCCGAAGCTGGAATGAGAAGAGCAACGCGGACAAACGGTTCCTTAATTTGCTTTTATTTTCGGGAAATAATGTAGATAAAGAGGAAGAGGAGACGGACCGCCTTACATCTCAACAAGTAATTTGTGATCTTCACATCGGACAAATCAAATTTACAAATTACTCTCCCACCTACTGGACCAAGCGGCCAGAACCAAAACGGATAGATACACAGGTGCCCTCCGCAGATTTCGGAGAGTGAAGGGTCACTAAAAACTCACTAAACAGACAGGGGTGTTTAAAGAGAGGGACACCCACAGAGGCACTGGACCTGGGACTCCGGGGTCGGTCTGCTTTCCACAGTGTTATAATTTCACCTCTTTTGTTGGTTTCTAAGCCGAAACTTTGATTCTGTGCTTAGGGCGGTGAAGGGCTCCGTCCTGCGCCCGGTCTAGTCTAGCCCCCGCCCCGTACCCCGACTTAGCTGTTTCCTTCACTTCTGATCCTCCAGCGCCCAGCTTCCTGGAACCAAGCGGGTTTCTTTAATAAATACACAAAGGGAGATGTGAAGAGGGGCAGGAGAGCTTGTAACAACTGAAAAATAAGAACCGCCATCGTTTGAGAAAGAGGAACGGGAACAAAGGGGAAATATTTTTTTGCTTTTGTTATATATATGTGTATATATATATATGTGATGTATATATTTTAAAGTTCTGTTTCCTGGACGCTAAAACAAGAGAGATGCTCAGTTCAACCAACAGCAACTAAAAAGTTTAAGTGGTCCCTGGAACGGACCCGACTATGTACAGCATTCCCGCCGGGGCGGAAGCTTGAATCAGTCCAGCGCAGGGCAGGGATGGAGGCTGGGCACCCTCCTCCCGAGGGCCTGGCTCAGCGCTCACCACTGGGGAGGTGGGGCTGCTGGGAGCTCTGGCCTGCAGATGGGGAGCTGGATCGAGGGCAGCTGAAGGGGAGGCAGTCTGCTAGGAGAAACAGTGGTGGGTTTGATTTGGAGGAGTGTGTATGGGCGCACTCCAAACGGTAGATAATACGCCAGTTAGTGACTTCATGTCCAGAAAGAATAAATAAAACTGTTGAGCTCAAAACAGAGAGGGTCAGAGCGAAGAGCCTGAGAAGGCTCCAGGTGCATAAAAGCTGTCCAGAAAGACTTGAAGGGGGGACGCACGAGTTGGGAGGGAGGGCACACTGCCATCTCGTGAAGAAACCGAGGGCCAAGCGGAAGCACCGGGCCCCACCTCCAAGGGGGAGAGGGGTCTACACCCTACCCCCCAAGCAAGTGGCACAGAGATGGGAGCGGCACTGCAGGCAATGGACATCTTGGGGGGGTGAAAATTCAGTTTTGGAAAAGCCAAGGCAAAGGCGAGCGGTGCAGCAGCAGCAGCAGCAGCAGCAGCGTGGGGACCACGGAGGGCGCAGGTAGTTGGTTTCTTCTCCACTCCCTCTCACTCCTGGGCTCACAAGACCTGGAACCGCCAAGAGGCTTGGTCCTTATAGTCCAGACAGTCGGGAGAGTTGAAGTTGAGTTTCCAGGCCGAGGAAGCAGCGGCAGCGGCGGGCTCCTTGTAATCCAAGCAGTCGGCAGAGTTGAAGGCGAGCCCAGAGCCTCCGTAGCCTTGGTGGTGGTGGTGGTGGTGATGGTGGTGGTGGTGGCCGGAAGACTGACTCAGTGGGTGGTGTGCGTGCGGGTGGTGGTGGTGATGGCCCGCCATGGAGGAGGGTGCCATGGGGCTCAGCTGGTGCGGGTGGTGATGCGAGTGCATGGGCGCTAGGTAGGAGCTGCAGTCCACCCCGCCAAAGTAAGAGGAGGAGGGCGCGGGGTAGCCCTGGCCGTAGCTTCCACCCTGGCCATAGGACATGGGGTAGGAGGCCGCCGCAGTGGCGGCACCTGCGGCTACCGAGCGCTGCATACACGAGGCGTTGCTTGGCGCGCCCAGGGGCTCTGGCACCGACACGGATGCGGGCGCCGAGCCTGGCGAGATGGAGGCCGGACTCCAGATGGACGAAGCAGTAGGCGTACTCAGGGAGGACGCGGCTGCCACCGGGTTTCCCCCCAGGCCCGCGGCCGCAGCAGCCGCGGGGTTGGCGGAGGCACTGGACGCCGAACTCGACGAAGAGGCAGAGCTAGACACGGCCGGCGGCGTGAACTGGCCGCTGCTCTCCGAGCCCGAGCTCTCGCGCACCGGAGACGACTTCTTCTTGACCGGCCGGCTTTTCGTTCCGTTCCCGCTCTGCTGCTGCTGGCGGCACTTGGCGCGGCGGTTCTTGAACCAGACCTGCAGGGAGCGCGGGGAAGGAGAGGGGATCAGGGGGCTGGCTGGCGCAGCTCAGTGCTCCTCCGCCCCTCGGACGCACACCCCGCCCAGGATCTTGGGGACCTCTCAATCCCAGCCCTACCCCTCCCAGTCTCCGGCCTTGCCAGACCCTGTCCCCTCCCCCGCACGTGCTAGGTCCCCGGCTCTGGCGCCCTCCCCCATCCTGCTGCGCAAAGCCCCCAGTCAGCCTCCTCCGCAGGAGGGATGCGCACCTCCCCAAGCCCAGCGCAACTCTGCCCGAGGGCGGAACGTTTGCGTCTGTCCAGCCAGAAGTTCAGCCATCTCTAAGCTGCTGCGGTTGGCTGCTTCCCCGCAGCCCCGTTTTAGTTTGAAGGCCCTGTTTTCCTTGAACAGAGCTCAGGAAACAGCGGAGAGGTACAGAACATCGGAGTGTAGGGCAGTCACCAAGTCTGGGGCCCGAGGGGTTTCACCGAGTCGGCTCCTGGAGACTGGAGTTGGGCAGGGCAAATGTTTGGGTGGGAACAGAAGCAAGGCTGGAGGCTGGACCGGAGCAGTACTCCAGGACCCGGGCTTCTCGGGAAGGAAGCCTGGGTGAGATTTCCTTGGGCCTTTTGGCTCCAGGTGGGGTACCAAATGGAAGGGTAAGTCATAAATTCTCACTCCTTTTGGACGGGGCCCGGACACGGGGGCATTCCCAGTCCCTTCGCGAGCCTTCGGGGAAAGAAGTCGAGACAAAAGACCCTCGAGGAAGAGTCAGGCTAACTCCGAACTCTATGTTCTCAACCGTTGCATCTTAGAAACGGTGAAGCCAGCATCTGGATTTTACACTGGAAGAAACTCCTAACCAGACCGACTCCACCCCGCGGAGCACACTCCGAGGCAGACAGCGCTAGACTGCAGCCAAGTTCCATCTTGCACTTTTAGAATCCTCAGGACGCAGGGCAAGGGTACGAGAGACAAGAGCCGAAGCAGAGCTAAGGCTCAGTAGGAAACCGCCAAGTTCTGTGGTAGCCAAGAAGCAGGGGCCATTATCTAACCTTCTGAGAAAGTTACATCCGGGGAACACGGTTGGCTTCCCCAAAATTCCAAAAACAGACTTTCAACATCGCAAGCGCCCTGGGGACCAGGGCTAGCTAGATATTGGGCTCAAAGCCATTACTTTTTAATGTCACCCCTTCTAGCTGACTGAAGCTCAGCGCTAGGGGGAGTTGCAGAGGGGCTGTCCAGTCCGTGAATGGGCCCCAACACCAGACCGCCCAAGCCAGATCTTCCCCGGCCGGTCCTAGCGCCCCCAGCCTGACTCTAGAGCCCCAGAATCCCGCACCTGGACTCTGGACTCAGGCAGGTTGATCTTGAGCGCCACCTCTTCCCGCATGAAGATGTCTGGGTAGCGAGTCTTTGCGAAAAGCGCCTCCAGCACGTCCAGCTGTGAGCGCGTGAAGGTGGTGCGTTCCCGTCGCTGCTTCCGGGGAGTGGCTGTGGGGACATGCAAGGGCGCCTGCCGTCAGCGGGGGGTCACGAGGACTGGCACTAGCGGCCACTTGCAGGTCCTCGGGCAGGTCCAGAACCCCGCCGTGGAAGGGAAAGGCCGACCTCCACCAACGCAAACGTCCCTGGCCACAGGTGGGACAGAGTGGGTGCATTCTACCAGAAGCTGCAGTCTGAAACATCAGGGCCTGCGGCCTCCGTGCCTCTCAGAGATTACCAACCAAGCCATTCCCCGCTGCTCATCTCCCTAAGCCCACACACTTCTGGCTGTGAGGTAGGAAGTAGAACAGAGCTAGGCAGAAACAGGACCTGGGCACACTTTCCAAGAGAAGAAATTCAAGCAAAGAAGTAGGATCTACAAAAGAAACTCGGGTTCAGCTGGAGTCATCCACCACCGCGGGAGAGTTGGGCAGGCCGCTGGTCTCGAGGGCACTCTATCTGACTGGGGAGAAAGAGTTCTGCTCTCAAGGCAGCTAGACATAAGGGAAATTTGGCTATTTACGTTAGGGCCTAGCGAGTCCAGATTCCTCATGAAATGTTGGGGCCAGAGGGGTATTTAAAAAAAAAAAAGGGGGACCGGAGGGAAGGAAATAAATCGTTGGACAACATGCTCCCTCTAGCAGGTGGGACCACCACAAGAGCCAGGATGCAGGCATCACAACCTCCGAAGTTGTAGGTTGCAGTTTCTAAGCTGCCCGACCAGACCTTGACTCAAACCTGTGAGCCTGTACCAGATCTAGGCAACAGGCGGGAAGGTAATGGTTTTCCTGGGCCTGTTTGGGGACAGTGTGGGCTCAAACGTTCAAGGATGGAATCCCCCAATGTTTGAGGAGGCGTGGGGGTAGGGACCGAGGGCCACTGCTCACCAGGATAGCCCACAGAGGGGTGCAGGAGGTCCATGGCAGGGCCAGCTAGGCCCAGCCCGTTCATGCCGTACGGGGGTTGTTTGAGGTAAGACATCATGCTAACAGCCGGGTGGAGGCGCCCCGACGGATCCAGGGGGCCTGAGGCCAGGAGCAGTTCAGGGCTCCCACTTCGAAGTCCTTCAAGCTGTTGCTTCTGGGGGCCTGGCCTAAGGAGACAGGAGACACATGGAAACCGTCACCCGCAGTCACTCTGGCTTTCAGTTCCTATAATCCTCGCATGGGGAGGGGGCGCAGGCTAGGAACTTCACAGGGTAGCAACCCAAGACATTTCTCCTCCAAGCTCAGCAAGCACACAGCTTCTTAGAAAACTTTCCCCACCTCCTTCCTTCCTCTTTTAGGGCTTGACAAGGGCCAAAGACACTCCTCGAGTGTCAACAGGAAAGAAAACTTAAAAGCGCGATCGGGCCTAGGAGGTGAGAGCCGGGACCAGCGAGGGTGCAAAATTCCCAAGTGTAGTCAATTTTTTTTTTAGTGCTGCGGAAGCAATTTGCTGAAGCAAATGTTCACTTGGCGCCGGGACGGCAGGCCGTACAGAGCGTACGGGGTTATTTCGTTTACGTTTCAAATGTTTCTGAAAAGGGACAGAACCGCTGGCACCACAGAGGCCCAAGAAGTTGGCCTTGGATGGCGGAGGGAGGGAGGCGACTGCCCACTTTGGACACACCATTCCTTCAGAGAGCTCCAGGGCTGCTCCCTCCGCCCGGGCCAGCAACCACCACCCTGGCTGACCTCGCTGGGCCCCTGACGCTAAGGGATGGGTGAACCCGGATCTCACGGCACCTCCAGGGCAGATGCGGCCCAGGCCCGGCTGAGGTGGCAAGAAGACGCCAAAGGCGCCCCAGTAGAAGTGGCAGTTTCAAGAGGCCGCCCAAGGTCAGGGGTGCCTCAGAGGCGGTCACCGGCCCTCCTAAGCCGGCGCAGGCCGGGCCTTCTTTCTACCAGAGTCCTACCAGGGTCTGATCAAGGATGACCAACCCAGCCGCCCCAAGAGTGCTGGCGATTTCAGGAGCCGGAGCACCGGGGTCGCGGGGGCTCCTCGCCGGCCGGCCGGCCTCTGCACCCGGTGGAGGGCAGGGAACTAGGCCTCAAGTCGGAAAGCTCACGCACACCCGAGCCGGGAGCGCCAGGTTCGGCCGCAGACCCTGCCAGCCCCTGGCGCTCTTCTCCAGCCGAAGGAGGGCTTCTGGGGGGGTAGGCCTGGGACCCGAGAGGGGCTTCGAGCTGCACCCCGCTTTGCCAGGAGCCCAGGGCGGGGAACTCAGGGGGAAACGGAGGACTTCAGCAGCTTTCCCATCCCAACTCCAGCCCCCGCTTCGGTCCCTCGGGGACCCGCGGCCTGGACTAAGGGAAGCCAGCGGGCACAGAAGGCGGAGGCTCCGACCACAGGGGAAACAGTTGGGGCACCCGGGCCGGAGGGCCACGGGCCACCAGGCACGGGGGGTCCGCGACGGTGCGGCGTGAGTTTTCCACTACTTTCATCTAACTTAGCACCCCAGCTCCGCGGCTTCGGAGGAGGCGGGGGAGGGGGCGCCCGGCTCAGCAGCGGCCTAGGGTCCGCGGCGCAGCCCCGGGGTGCCCGGCCTCGCGCCCCCAGCCCCGCCCACCCGCGGGGGACCTGGGGAGCCGGGGTCGATTCGAGGAAGGAGAGGCGAGGCGAGCGGCCGCCGACCCGGGGTGGCGCGCGGCCCCGCGGCTCCCCCCTTACCTGCCCTCCGCTGCCGGGGCTGTTCACCATCTACCTCGCGCCCTCAGCCAGACCCTCGGGGCAGCCAACCTGCAAAACAGAGCCGCACAGGTGTTACCCCGGCGGCGGGTCTGGGACCCCCGGGTTTCTCCTCTCCCCAACTTCCCTCTTCCCGTCCCCTGCTTCTTTTCCAGGAGCTTTGTGCGTGTCCTTCCAGGTTTCACTTTATTGCACAAATACTTTGTTTGCAAAGTCCCACATGCTTTTCCTCCCAAGACCTGGCCTCAACCGGGACCGGGGGGCGGGAGGGCGGGGGGGGGGTTCGAGGGACAGAGTTAGGAGGTGGCTCGCGGTGGCCGCTGCACTCCCGGTGCAACATGGAGGCGGTAGGGACCGAAGAAATGCTGCAGAGTCACTTGGCAAACTAAATAAATCAAGCAATTTACCTTGTCGGAGTGGCTTGTCTTGCTCGGTTGTTTAGGTGATTGGAAATGTAGCCTGATGAAGATTGATCACCTTTCTACTGCCCTCCCCGGGTATGTGAACGCGAGGCAAGTGCGTAACGGGGCTCGGCCGCCAATAGGGGGCCTCGAGCGGGCTGAGTGACAGAGCGCCGGGCAATGGCAGCGCGAGCCGGGGTTACCTCCGCGCGCCCCCGCCCTCCCCCGCCCCCCTCCCCCGCCCTCCCCGCGCGCCGGCCCCGCCTCGGTCGCGCGCTAACTCGGGGGCTCGGGTGGCAAATTCCGCTCAGAGCGAGTCGAGGAGGGTGAAGGCAGCGCCGGAGTCGCGGGAGCAGAGGGGGCCCCGGGTCCCGAGGCCCGCCTGGGGGCCCCCGCCCTCCCCTCGCCTGGGCCGCGCTACGGAGGAGTGGCAGAAAGGTGCTGGATAACCGGTTCTGGCTGGCGCGCGCGCCGCCGGGCTTCGCAGCCGGGGTGTGGGCGCCAGGCTTCCCGGGCGGCGGACTTGAGGCTCGCCGGCCCCTGGCTCTCCTTGGGGCGCCCTGGGACCCGGCGCCTCCTCCCTCCGCGCCCCCCCCCCCCCACCTGCGGGCGGCTCGTGCGGGCGCGGGCAGCTGAGCCGAGCTCGGGGGAGCCGTTTGGGGCACGCCGGGCACTCCGCGGCGCCCCGGGACTCCCGCGCCCAGGGCCAGCACCCGCAGGGGAGGCGCCGCCACTTACCAGCTGCTCCGCGTCTCTCGGGGCTCCCGGTCCCCACCAAAGGTGTTCGCAAGTCCTAAAGCGTCTTCCGAGCTGTTGGAACTCAGACCCCTCCCCCCTCCCCCCACATTTTACTTCTTAGGCATGAGGTTTTTTGATCGAAAACTTTCTTTTTCACACTCGATCTGTCCTTCCGCGTCTCCACCTACCAGGGACAGTCTGGTGGAAAATGTGGCCACAGACCCCGACCCCTCACTTCATTTCCTACCACATTACGGCAGGAGCCTCCTGGAAACCGTTTCCCTGGATTGTTCGTACTGGAAGACCCCAGTTCCCAGCCGAATAAACTTGCTAAGGACGTCTACCTGTGTGGACTTTCCAAAGCGAGAGAAAAAACTATTTTCGGCCCAACCCCGAGCAAGGCAATTCTTTTAAATGGCATCTCCACTGAAAACAGGGAACCACATCTCCGCCCTTTCCTAGTCTTTTCTCCTCATCTTCTCCCAGTCTCACCCCAACAGGCGGGTGAAAAGTTTGAGCCAGAGTATGTGCGTGGGTGAGTTCGGGAGCCGCCGAGAGCACGGTAGACCGGAGCACCCCGATGCCCAGGCCGCGCGGTCCGCACCGTTCGCTGACCGGGCGCGGGGCGACCAGAAGGAAGGGGGAGCCCGCGGAGTGAAAAGGGGCCGCGACTGCCGCTCATCAAAGTGCTTCTCCCCTCCCCCAAGCGACACTTTTCTTTGGAGTCCGAATAAAATACGGTAACAGAATATGATGGAGGGCACACTGTTTCCTTAACTGCTTCTCAAAGGACCGAGAGATCTTCTTAGGACCTTTAATAAGGCTTTGGTCGGTTCTTTTGTTGATCTCTCAAAATCAACTCCTTCTAATTGAAGTTGGAGCTGAAAGCGAGCTAATGTTCAAAGAAAGTGGCCGCCAGACTAACGAAATTACATTTTTTTGAACGATGAGGGAACATCTAATCAAAGGGGCAGGGAAGGAGGGGTGTGAGCGGGGGGACCGCGGAGGAGAAAAGGAGGTTTTACAAGATCCTTCTCTGGTTCACAAAAGTCAGCGACACGGGCGCTTCTCTCCAGAACAAAGACACCGCGGCCCATTCACAAAAGCGAGAGAAAGAGAAAGCAGAATAAAAGAACAAGAGGAAAGGGGGGAAATGAGAGGGAGAGAGATAAAACCTGCAGGCGGAAAAGAAGCAGCGCAGAGCACAGCGCGGGCCCGAGCGAGCACACACCTTAGGCTCCCGGGTCCCCACCAGGAGTATCCCCAAAGGCGGGCGGTCAGCCTGAGAGCTACGGGGACCGTGCTGAGGTTTAAAGAAAGAAACGAAATACACTCCTGCCCCCTGTTCCGGGGAATGGCGCGGGCTAGGGCGCACTAGTTTGGCGGGCACGAAAATGTCGAGGTCCTGGGGTGTGCACTGGCCGCATCCCTGTCCCGGCCTCCCGGCTGAGAGCCTGGGTTGGCCCTCTGGGGCCCTGGGCTCACGCTCTGGCTCGCTGGTACTCTGGCCTCCGCAGGGCGGGTTCGTTGGCTGTCGCAGAACCTAGCCTGGGTCAGGTTGACGAAGTGGGGCTGCTGTGCGCATTGGAATGTGCCTGCGCAGTCCCCAAGGCCCACCGCGTGGGAGCCGGTTGCTGTGGGTTCCTGATGCTGTCCCCCTCCATTCTCGGGCAAGTGGGAGACATCGAGTGGCAAGGACCCCCCCCCCCCTCCCATGAGAGTATTTATCTAATCCCAAATTGCAGGCGAATTTCCTTAATGCTCATCCTGTAAAACCTTGGGATTAAGGAAAAAGGAGAGGTGGAGGGGGTGGGGGGGAGGGGAGAGAGAGAGAGAGAGAGAGAGAGAGAGAGAGAGAGAGAGAGAGAGAGAGAGAGAGAGAGAGAGAGAGAGAGAGAGGAGAGAGAGAGAGAGGGAGGTGGAGAGAGGAGAGAACAGAGCAGAAGAAGGAGAGTAAGATCAAGATGAAAGTTTTTTGAATTCGGCGCAGAGGATTGTGGCAGCCTTTGCTAGCCAAATGTCCGGGTCCAGGACGCTGGTCCAGAAGCTTCGACGGTTCCCTCAAAGGGTTGTTGTGCAGCCAGGGCCAAGTAGGGACGGCGTTGGAGGAAGAGGGACACTGCCTCAGTCTAAGGCCCAGCAGCCAGGAGCGGGCCCCAAGCCTGGATGCGGCATCCCAGTGACCTGGTGCCCACCGCAGAGTGGCGGGGCTGGAGAGACACTTGGGGGGGGGGGGGGAGAAAGTTCCGCACCCGCTCGCTCGCCACAAACGCTCCGGTCGCCGCGCCCCCGACCCTTTGTCTCTTCACACCGAGCGGGTTTTCAGGGTCTCCGTCCGGTGGCGGGCTGGGTGCTGGCCTGCCTTAGGGAGCCCGCCACCGGGCACCGTGCGGAGCTTCAGCAACGCGACTCCCCGGCTGCGGCCCGATCCCGCGGTCCCAGTCCGTGCTCCGCCGCCGCTGAGGGGCGTTCGGGCGCTGCGGAGAAGGGAAACCCCGCGAGGCTGGGAACCAGGCGGGAGGGGCCCCCAATCGCAAGCAAATCCAGGACTAGGGGAGTTTTGTCACCTCGTAGATCTGGGGCGGCATGGGGGAAGGGGAAAACGCCTTCCTGACAGGCCCCTGGAAAAGGGACGGATTCTCGAATCCACCCCGAAGGGAGCCCCAGGATGCTCCGGGCGGTGGATTTCCGAGAGCCGGTTTACCTGCGTACATTGGATAGGATTCTGAATGTCCCCAGAGAGCAGCAACTTGCCGCTCTGCTTTCTCATAAAGAGGACAAAGACCCGATTTCACTTAGTTCTAGTAACTTTTCACCAGAAAGAGAAGGAAACAGAATTCTTTGCCATCAAGGAATTCTGTGCAAGTTTTTACCTTTTTGCAAGATGAGTAATTGGAAATGGCAGCATACTTTTCGAGTGAAATGAAAGCCTGAATGTGTGTGTGTGTGTGTGTGTGTGTGTGTGTGTGTGTGTGTGTGTGTGAGAGAGAGAGAGAGAGAGAGAGAGAGAGAGAGAGAGAGAGAGAGAGAGAGACAGAGACAGAGAGACAGAGACAGAGAGAGAGAGAGGAAGAGAGAGGGGCTAAAGTGAATGCCAGTGTTTCCCGTAAGTTTCAGGACTTGTTGAAGGGGCTTTCTTTGTTCGAACACCCAGTGTAGAGGAGCCCATTTTTACTGGCCGTATAGAAATTGTTACATCTCTCTTTCTTCCATCTGCACAACCCCTCCCCCAACCACAGTGCTCTCCCTTTCATTTCAGGACCCACAGACTTGCCGGTTATGGTGGGACACAGTTCTACACGCTTGGAAATTCATCATGATGCGTCCCCCCTCCCAGTGGTGTGGATTCACAAATTTCCTGGACTCTTTCAGAGAGATGACCCTTTCCAAAGGACAGGATAGTTTTTACTCCCTGAGAATGTGACTAATGACTTTGCAATTTGCATCCTATATGAGTGAAGTTCCTCTGGACCTGTGTCAGTTCCAAACAGTCCAGTGTCCTGTGCTGGATTTCACATGGAAAGTCTTACTGATACACAAAGTTTTCATTGCAAGGAAAAAAAATTAGCAGGGTTTAAGGTAAGAAAGTTTCTGCTTTTATTGAAAATTTATATATGACTCAGTATTATAATAAATAAACATAACCATTTTCACAAAACACAGTGCTATGCTAGAGATGTAATTGGAGATTTACTTGTAGTGCCAAGACAGACTTTTATCAATACAGAAATAAATATTAACAGCATTCTTGAGCCAATGTTGAGCCCCAACAAAAAGTAGGAACCAAGCAAGATGTAATAAATAATTATTCAGATTAAAAGATGGCGCGTCGTCGTCAGATGATACAACTGCCTTTGTAAACTGCTGCACATCTATCAGAGTCGTTGTTCTCACAGTGCACCATTCAAACCACAAGGTTTACCTCAGGCTACCTTAAAGGGCCATCCTCTGAGAGCAGGGAGGAACTTTATTATCCTTATGCGAAACGCACACAACTGCAGAAAGCCTCACTGGCAATGGAACACAGTTTCACCAATACACAGACTACGATCTAACTATGAGATTCAGGTAACAGTGTTACATAGGGCAGGACTGGAAACAAATCATTCATGACATTTTCTTACTCCCTGTGCCCCCCACCCACGGTCCTTATGCTATTACCAACAGTACTACAACAAACAGCTTCAGGTTTTCGTCGTCCGTCCCACACGGAAGGGGAGTGAAGAGAGAGGCCTTTCCCCTTTGGACAGCTTCTTGAGCATCTCCATCACTGATCACTCACAAGGTGTCTGTGCAGATCTACTTCACATGGTTGCAAAAATGATTTCATGATTAACTCACAAAGAATCCTTAAAGCTATCTGGAGTTCGGCATATTATCTGGAGAGGAGGAAAAGGGGGTGGTGATCCAGAAGTACAATCCAGTCAAACAAAATGTTAAAAAGTTTTCAATCAACCAGTCTGTCTGTCCCTGGCCCGGGGACCTAGATCCGGTCCGCAGGCTACTGAAGAGCACACTTCTCCTCCTTCTTGGCCATCTTGCCTTTGTTTTGTTCCAGAGTTCGCTCCAAATGCTCATCTTCTTCTTCTGCCCTGGATGTTAGACAAACAGGAAAGATAGAATTATATTTCCTCCTTTAGTGGGGAGCAGCAATACCCCCCAAACAGGCTATCTGGATCCCCGGCGGCAATGGGGGGGGGCACAAAGGCACCTGTCCACCCAGATCCCCGAAATGAACTTTGTATAAACTTCATGTTCCCTTGGCGGGTGGCTTCCCTAGACACACCCCACATCCCCACTCACTGCTTCTCCTGGGCGTCCAGGTCCCTGACAAGGGCGTCGCGTTTGTCCACCAGGGCCACTAGCTCATCCAGCAGAAGTTGTTCTCGGCGCTTCTGGGCCTCGGTCTTCTGCCAGTCTGCAGGGGGCGGGAGGCCAGTTACCACCCGCAGAGGCTCAGAGCACTCGGAACCTGCCCTCCCCTTCCCGCCTAATCCAGTTTCCTAAAATCTCAGCAAACCACGTTAACCCGGCCACTAGTAAGTGTTTGCTGGGGGAGTTTGGCCGAGGTGGTCAGGGCTTCACGCCCCAAACCCTACTTTGTAAATACTCATTGAAGATTGGTTCCGCAGGTTATGAGCCAGCTAGGAACCAGGTGTGAGTCAGTGGCCGGGCGGAGGCCGGCACCTGAATTCAGGCGAAGTGGGGGAGGGGAGCTGGAGTCCAGAAGAGGCTGGCCCAGGGCTTGGGGCAGGGGGAGTGGGTAAACGAGGAGGCGGGGAAGCAGAGAAGGGCGATAAAATCCTTCTGAAAGGGCTGGAGAATCTGCCTGAGAACCTACTCTCCTCCCCACCCCCACTCTCACCCCAAACAGCCCATTCTTCGCTAATTTCCTCCCCGCTCTATTTTAGCAGTTGGATGTATCTCACACTGGGCGCCATATGCTTCACAATAACTTTAAAAGTAGTGAATCGGCTAATTAGCATTTTTCTTTGAAGTAAAAAAATAAATTTGCTCTGCAGTATTACACGGCAGCCCTCGATGGCATCACAGCCAGTTTTCTTTGGGAGACATTTGCTGGGTGGTTTCAAATGGAAGCACTTTTGCAAAGGAAGAAAAAATTACAGATTTCTTTTTGAAACTCCATGTTAAAGGTCGGAAAATGCGCTGGGCAGTGCTTTTTCTATAGGTGGGTGGCCATTTTTATGCCAGGTTTAGTACCCAGTGATATACATAGCCTAACCCTTTCAGCTTTGATAATTTCCTTAAGATGAGCAGCAGTTTCACTTGATAAAAGCAGGACCACAATCTAACATTTAAAACACTTTTGAAACCAAAGCCAACTGCTCTCTGGCCAGACTGTAAGGGCTTGTAGCTGTCAATCAAGCCGCAGTCTACCCCGCCTCCCTCATTAGGAAGGTAAACAATGAAAAGAAGAAGTAGATGAGGAGGAGATAGCAGAACAAATGGGGACCTGGAGGGAAACAGGACACCAGCTTTAAGGGGGAAGGCACCCTGGCCGCTGACTCTTACAGCCCCCTCCCCCAGCAAATACACTTTCCAAAACCCAGAGAAGTGCAATCCTTCGGGGCTCTCTCTTCTCTCTCCATTGCCCTGGGCAATCATGTTAAAACTCACATGGCTGGTGCTTATTCAGATAAACCTAACAATGCTTACGCTGGTTACCATGTGAATCTTCACAAACCACACAAGAATGTGCTGGTTCAAATCCCTCCCCCCCTTCCAAAGCAAAATTTATTCAAGACAGCAAACTGCTCAGCAGCTCTAGGAAAGCAAATGGTGCCACAGCGAATGCTATCTTGTATTTACAAATTAAAAATTAGATGCATCATCGTGCAATAAAGGTTAGCAAAGCTGGAAAAAGCTATTTCACTCAATTTTATCACTGTTCATTCCATGAGCTCGAACACAAAATACATATATTAAACACACCATGCTAATTACCCACATTCCATGCAAACCATCACAAATAGAAATACATTCAATGACTGATTATGATTATGCTCTCATTTAAAGGGTAGGAAACATATGGAAAGCTGTGTCTCAATTTTAACAATAAGTGAAATGCAGAGAAGCCACCTCTATTACAGTTTTACTCTCCGGACCCATGCAAGTAAGGACACTGAAATGCCGGAAACATTTCTAATCTCTTCTTGCTCTTAAGTCCGTCTTACTCTCCAGAGCAAGTGAATTAACAGACTCTGCAACTGGAAGGATCTCTAAAATAGACAATTTTAGTCTAATTTTACGTAATTGTAGTTCTTGAAATATTAATTCAGAAAAAGATCCTGAAATTAGGACTAAATTTTATTTAATAAAATTAAGTTTATTAAATTAGTAGTTTTAATGAATAAGAAATTCTGATTGTTGGTGTAAGATCCATAACTCTTTGCTTTAAAATATTTTGATAAGTTTACAATTAGGAAGCACATTTTCTCCACACAAAAATTAAAAAATTTCAATTTAAACCAAGAAAATGATTTAACAACAAATACATAATTCTTATTAAATTACTTCTCTGAACCTGACTACTTAAAAATGATTTAATTATTTTAAATGCCAGGATTTCATTAACACTGGAAAATTAAATTTTAACAATATGAACAGATAAAAGTTCTATAATCTCTGAAATATTGATTTTTTTATCTCAATTTTTTTTGTATCTCAATAACAACATTTTCCATTATTGGAAAAACATTTATAACTGAAAAATATTTAGGCAATTTTTAACATTTTGAGAGTCAAATTTAACTGATATCAGCATTTAAAATATTTTAACATAAGATGCAAAGATTTTTGCTGTTAATTGCTATTACTGTTTAATATTTTAAAAATAGTCAAATACAGAGCACATACGTATGTGCAATAAATAGACTTTATATTAGCAAACTTATATCCTGTATTTTCTTTCCCACAGTAAGTACAAATCATATTATATATGCACATTTACACTTACATGCTAACATATACATTTGAATGCTAACTGACAAATTAGTAAACTATTTTGATCATTAAAAATATTACATTCAAAATTGATCAAGATTAGTAGGTATGTTCAAGCTTAAGTTTAAAAATCCCTTCTAAATAGCTTCACCTGGATATGTCATGTGTTGTTTCCGAATCACCTTTAGAATCTGAATGAAAGGGCTGTGTGTATCTACAGCACCAGTCACAGCTAACTGGCCAGCTGCACTGACTTTAACTTGGGCAGACTAACAACGTGGTTCTGACTGATTTAAAGATTCCAGTGTGCTCCTGCTACAGAAGCCACAGCCTCTCACCACAAACAGGATTAAGTTTGGATGCTGCATCTGAGCCCAAGTGTTGAAGAGATGCTGTCTATGCCTATCTCAACCAAGCTGATTGTTAATTTGAAAAAAATTCTTTTTCATATATAGGGCCAATTATTCATGCCCTAATTCCATTTATTTGCTGAAGTTGATAATTACTGTGGGGGGGGGGGGGAAGCAAAAGAAATACCTAAACACACTTTAACAGAAAGACCTAAAGGTCTGGTAAAAATCTTCAGACTTGCCACAATCAGAAAGCCTGGCACTTTGATGAAAATTAACACTGGTTTTGTAAAGAGCACATTGGGGGATTGCAGTCAAGTCTTATCTTTAGTTCCAGTCAACTAGCAATCCTGAAGGAGTTTGCCTCATCATCAGAACAGGCCATTGATAGGATTCTACTGTGGAGCCTAATCAATCCATGGAAGACTGTGGCTGTGCTGTGTAACAAAGCTAAAATAGATTTACAAATGGGGTTTTAGGGGATAAGCTCCTCCACAGGATTACATATTGATTTTAAATATAAAAAGCTTATCATATAAACCATAACTACAAAAATAGTGAACCTATGCATAAATCCTTTAGAAGAGCACCCACTTCAGACTCTAAGCCAAGAACAAATCAAGATGTACGAATCCTAGAGTAGATCCATTTCTTGTGCAGAAAATGAACATGCCCCTCTCTAAAGAGCCCACCCTAATGTGTGCAGAAATGAATTTGTCTTTCCCGAGGGAGCATTAAATAATCTGGAACAACAACTACAAAAACTATAGAAAAAAAAGTATCTGAAAGATGCTTGCTAGCTTGAGGGAACCTTACAATTGAGCTCAGTAGAGAAGCTATGACCCCTCAGGGAAGAAGGAGGACAGGGTTAGAGTGATTATGGGTTCTCAGAAGAATGGATGAATTGAATATTATTATTACTATCATAATATTTTGCTCTCAAACCACACTGGGAATGTTTCTTTCGGTGTGCTACGGCTGTTACTATTCTCTGCTCTCTGCTGGTGCATGCTCTGAACACAGTAGTTACTTGGAAAGGTTTTAGTTCAGAACTATGGCTAAGGAGAAGATGCTGGAAGAAGAGGAGTGAGTTTTTAGATGAAGGAAAACAACACAGGACTATTGGTGTCTGCTCCATGTTTTGCTCTGGGGTCTGAAGCACACGTGTGTCCATGCTGAGGGTGGCCCTGCCTATGTCCTGCTCAGGCCACTGAGACAGGCATCTCTAAGTGTCTCTCCTTGTGATCAACAGGCTGTTCTTTTCCTCAAGACTCTCCCCTTCCTCTTAACGGAAGCTGACACAGAGATCTGAGGTACAGTCACCTACAGGACAGTGCAATTGAAAATGCTCCTGTGGTAGGGAGGAAGGAAGGGAAGAGGGAGGGGCGGGGTGGAGAGCCAAAAGACTAATAGTTGCATTTAAAGTTTTCTAAAATATGGCTTTTATTGCTCCTCTGTATGTGTAAGAACTCAGGCAGAAAAAATGGTAGATTCTAAGGCTGTGCATACAGATGGCCAATGAAACTGGGATATTTCCATGTGTAAGGGTGTTATAAGATGCATATTTAGTAATAATACTGGTTTGGGGAATAAAAACAGTATTTCATCTCTGCCCTAAATGCCAACTATACCATGTAAAGCTGTATTTTAGGGACAATTTATCTTCTATACAGAAGAGGATGGGTATAAAAACAAATTAAGACTACTTTACATTGGGTGTAATGTATAATGAATCTATAAAGAATATACTGTATAATGAGTTATATATTATATACAGATACATTATACATATATCCTACTTATATAGTAACTGCTGCATCTACTTTTCAACTATTTAGCTTTCTGATCTCTTTTAAAACCATACTATAACTAGAAAAATTATATCTAAAGGAAAAACACCATTTGCTGTACTTGGGCATTTTATTGCAGTGACAGATTTCACAAAAATTCTAAAATAATTTAAAAAAATTTAATAGTTATCAATGGCATTTGATATATCTCGCCATTTGAAAGAAATGAGCCAAGTGAAGCTTTGAAAAGCAAAGTAAATTGAGTTTTAAATGAAGATATACAAATGTTATCTGTGATAGTATCAAATGAGATTAGAGATATAAAAGTAATTAAAGTAAAGCTTCTAAAACATACAAGGTCATTGATAAATAGGCCTTATTTTAGAGTAATATATTTTTAAATATTTTAAGAATATAAGTCTTGGCTTTCACTTACAAACTTAAATTTCTAGTTTCTGAACTAATTAGAATTGACTTATGGATCAGGTACCTTATCAGGTGAAACGGAATTACCACGGACAGTCAATGGGTTAAGAGGTCAATATAGAAGAGGAAAATCAATTTGCATTGATTAGACAAAAGATCTATTTTACAGAGCCCAAAGGATTAGCTTTTAAGCAAAAATCTTTGAACTATAAGGCGTTTTTAACTGACAGATATAAGAAGAGCATTATAAAACACTTCAGAACTTAAAAAAATATATAGTAAATGCTAAACGTGAGCTAGCTGATGCTAGCTCCCACTATAAACTGTACATAGGATTTCTATACCATTCATCTTGACGGCTTACAAAACGTGCAAGTATTTCATTTTCTCTTACATCAATCACTGCACAAATATTTACTTAACAGGAGTGAAATGTTAAGAAGTACAACAGAGGCTGGATGTGGTGGCTTCCACCTGTAATCCCAGCACTTGGAAAGCTGAGGCAGGAGGACTTCCACGAGATGGGCACCAGCCTGGGATACATACTGAATTCTAGGCCAGGCTATAGGACAAGTTGGGATAAAGAGTAAGACCCTGTCTAAAAACAAAGCAAAGCAAAGCAAACAGACTAAACAAGAGTGTCGTAATGACAAATAGTCAAAACAATAAATCTTTACTAAAACTCCCCAATGGAAACAACTTCAAAATGCACACAGATAAAATGCATCTAAAACAAATTAGCTCATACGTTTTTATGTTTTACAGAAATCTATTCTTATTGGCTCAAAAGTTAACTTCTGTTAAGAGCAAACATAATGATTAGCTATTTAAATTAACTTCTTGTTTTTGTTTTGATACTGTTTTCTGTCTTCAAGGCACATGTACAATCCCTGTAGGTACCTATTAGAACTGCCCTAGTCACACCAGATGTGTATAGCACTAGTTAAATTCCACTGATAGCTGACACCTCACAGCCCTCACCTCAGCTCTTGCCTTCAATGGCTGGCATCACCCACCCTCACCTCAGCTCTTGCCTTCAATGGCTGGCATCACCCACCCTCACCTCAGCTCTTGCCTTCAATGGCTGGCACCACCCACCCTCACCTCAGTTCTTACCTTCAATGGCTGGCATTACCCATCCCCACCTCAGCTCTTACCTTCAATGGCTGTCATGGCCCACCCTCACCTCAGCTCTTACCTTCAATGGCTGGCATTACCCATCCCCACCTCAGCTCTTACCTTCAATGGCTAGCATCGCCCGCAGTTCCCGGTTCAGCAGCTCATACCTTCGTTCTAAGTCATGTTCTTTTTCCCTAGGCAAGTTGTAAAAAGTTCATCAATATGCTAATTACTAAATCATTAAACACTTAAAAGAACCTTTAGTTTACATTGATTTTAGGAGTCATAACTGACTTTTCTATTTAACTTTAAGCCACTCTAAACAAATGATATACAGACTCCAAACCTTCCTCAGTTGAAAGCTTACTAGCGTTATTATTTTCCTCCTTCAGTTCTGAATGGCACAGAGGTATAAAGGTAAGCAGTCCCATTCTTAAATGCTTCTTGGATTAAGTGTCAGGTATAAGGATCTATTGGAAAATATTCAAAGTTCACAATAAATACTCTTTTATTGAACACTTCATGTGAAAGAAACACAAGTGTCCTACCAGAGAGAACTGAACACACAGACAACCCAAGTTTTCATCATACCCTCCTTTACCAGGTTCAGCAAGGTAGAAACGACAACACTTAGGTTTTTACGTTCCAATAAAACATGGTAAGCTGGCCACACTATTGACACAGTCTAGGGACACTGCTAACTAACGAGCAGGAGGGAATGACATTACTTTCTATAATGAACTCAACGTTGAAGACTCGGATGCTTGTATTTAGTCCAGTCTCCACTGAACTTTAATTACTACACTCACAATAAAGTCACTGTTAGGTAATTCAGTTCTCATTCCAAAGTTTATATCAACATTGCCTATAGATAATAAATATTTTTTCTTAAAAAGAATTTTATTTTTTAACTTAGAATTTAAAAAACAAACTTCAATTTTACTTTTCTGGAGGGTTCTCCTCTAACCCCAAGTGAAAGCTAATCCTCTTCTGTACTAAGGATTTCTTTCTTCAACACAACAAATGGGGGCCTGCTGACCTGGATTTGTTCCCCAGAATCCACAGCAAGTGGAGGAAGAGAGCCGACTTCACTAAGTTGTCCTCTGACCTCCACACTCCCACTACAGTTTGAAAACACACACACACACACACACACACACACACACACACACACACAGATAATACATAAACATTTAAAAATACTTTATGCACAAAATTGTTACTTATTTCCTGACTTTAAAAAAACACGTTTCCCCTCAGGGTCTTATCAGTCCAGTCCCAAATTCTTACTGTTCAGATGAACATTTTTATATGCTAGCTTTCTAAGGAAAGAGAAAAAGATTAAGCTTAGTAAATATTAAACCCAAAGAAGGCACCAGGGGACGCCTGAGAGGGCCAGTTGAGCTGCGTACTCACAGGAGGGAGAGCTGGTTCATTCTCCTTATTAGGGCGTTTTTCTTGTTCACTAGCATGAACCATTCCTGCATCACGGCCTCCTCCTCTTCTGTGTTCCTTCCTACAGACCAGAAAGAGGAGAGCTAGGTGACACCCAAAAGCCAAAGAACGCTCCTGCACAACTTTTCAACCTGAAAAATCTTCTGGGTGCTCCAATACTGCATAACATATTGCTTACGAGACTCAAAGCCAAAGGCTGAAAGCAGAATCAGTATTTACAAAGTCAGAAGCCGCTGCTCTGAAGGCCGCACTTGTGCAGAATGCACTTTGGTCCCCTGAACTCACCTGTAGATCATATTAACACTAAGTACCGTCAACAAAATGCTCCACCTTTTAAATCCTCCCCAGAGGCTGACTTGCTATTATGTTTCAATAAAGAACTCAGGGTGCTGACAGACACATGGTCACGACTTTTTTTTAAGACTGAAAAATTATTATGAGAATCATAAGATTATCAGGGAGACCAGAGAAGTCCAGAGATCCCGTGAAAGCATACTTTTAACAACTTACTTTCTTATGTTCTTCATGGAAAGTAAATTACCATGTGTGCACATACCACTTAGAACTTGTTGACTCAGACAAGATGAACTACTTACAAGCTATTAAGTGCACTGTAAATGACGAGACTACAAGAAAGACCTACAGCTCTCTGTGGAAAAAAAAAAATTCATTTACAATGAATAGAATACTAAAAACCCTTTTCATTAAAGACACACTCTAACACTTGGATTGTGAAGTAACTATTTTACATTCACTCACACCCATTCAGTCATCTCTGCCACTGCTCCTCCCCAGGACTGTGACACATTCTAGCACATCCTTGACATTGGTCATATACAGTAATGTGCAGGTCCCAATCACACTAAAGAAAAATACCCACCCCCCTTTGCCATATATCCCCCTTTCTCTCCTTGTAAATGATACCAAGTCAAATTTGTAATCCTTTAACTTTTTTCCCCCTGAGTTCCATCCATGGTTGTTTTATTACTTTGCTAACCCATTACTTAATATTAACAGTTCAATTTCTGCACAACATTCATAGGATAAACTTAAAGACCTAATAAGAACTAAATATCCCTGCAAAGACTGTTCTGTACATATGCTTTTTAAGTGTGATAGTACCATTTGAAAGTTGAAGACATTGAGTCTATTTAAAAATTCCCAACAATGCAGAAGTATTTTAAAAAGGGCCTTCTTTCAGCACCCCCACAGTTCAGAACTCCTCTTCTCCTAAAGAAGGCCCGGTCACAGGCAAATGCTATTCAGAACCACAGACTGCCATGTCCGTCAAACACATGCACACACAGACAGGAACTTCTTTTACTTCAGTGAAATGATATTATATAATAACCTATTGTATATATTGTCATGTTGTCTAAATATTTACTTTATAAATTATAGAAATGCCATGATTAAACTATTTCCACATTAATATAAATTTAAAGAATGTTTTAAAATATTAAAAGCAGATCTGCATGCGTGAGATCTTGCATCAACTTCAGAGTATGCTGCCCGTCATTAGGGAGAACAGTGAGGATGTGCGCCATCATTACATCTTGTTAAAACTCAATGTGTGACGCCGACTTAAGATAGATTCTTTCAGAGTCTGAACAAAAGTCTTTATTGTTTTACAGTATTTTTAATCTCTCCTTTAGGGTAGCTGGTTTTGTATTCACTTTGGACCATGTGATGTCTTGACACTGGTCATGTGATACAGGCTGCGATAGGCACAAATCCCTGGGTAGCAACAAAAGAAGAAAGAGTAAAAAGAAAAAGCTGAGAAAAAGCTTGCAGTTTGGAAAAAGGCCAATTGTACCCCGGTGAAAGCGTTTTGATCAGTGAAATGACACATGTGTGCAATATTAATAGGTGTAGATTTTATGATAGCTCATTTTCTGATTAAAGACCCAATTCTTGTGTTCATAACTCAGTGGCTTCTAAAGATACAGACATCTTAAAACTTTGTTTTGAGTTTAACTGAACCTATAATTGAGGCTTGCAGGCAATACCAGAAGCAGCCAGCCCTCTCTGACATTAGCATCATTTTCGTCAATGGAAAACACTGCTTCCCGAGTTTAACAATATTGATGTGGAACTGTGTTATTTTCTCTTTAGTTCATGTCTGTATTTTTAGGTAAGAATCAAAGATAGCTCCATAATTATTAGGAAATAACTAATAATAAAAGAACGTAATGTTTCCAAAGGAAATGAGTCTAGCAAATATCTAAAGACACACTTACACATTGCTACAGAGCTCATTTCTAGTCACTGAGAAAACATAAATCAATTCTGTGTCACTACTCTTTATCTGAGGTAGTATACAGTGATGGAAATCTATCCACAGCCTAATAATAAAAAATTAAAGTTTCTTTTAACGTATTCCTACACTATTGTTTGTAGAGATTTAAAAATTTTAAATTTAAAAGCCTTTAAAAGCCAGCAAGTTGAACCATTACAAATTAATCCTGACTTTAATAACTGGTTAAAGACCCCTTTAGCTTTATAAGCAACAAAAAATATTAAAGCCCCTGATCACAGCGAGCTTTTCTCATTTCTCCTCTAACCATTTGTTATTTAATCCAATACTAGTAATCCAATTTGTCCATCAGACTTTTAAAGGGCAGAATGCAACTTCCTCAGCTTAGACACTTTTCAAAGTACAATATATTTTTCAAATGAATGCTGGATGTTTCATTTTTCCCAACTGTTCCTAGCTCTAATGCATGAGGAAAAAAAGAACAAGATGAACATTGTTCATACTGATTAAGTAAGAGCTCATTAAAGAGCTGTCAGTGCGGTACTTTGAATATGCATGAAGCATATAATCAGATCTAGTACCGTCACTAGAGGAGAATACGGTAAGTACAAAGGACTGATTTAATTACTTAGAGTGGGCTGTGGTGGCGAAGCCGTGTTGGTAGTGCAGAAAGAAAAAGGGTTGTGTTCTGCCGCTGTCATAGAAAAGGCAGTCCGAGCTTCCCCACAATACCTGACCTCACAATAAAGCACTTTACACTGTAGCTCAAAATGAAGCCTGCATTACAAAATGCCCAGAAATCATTTAATCTTGTTTAACCTTACCTTCTAACTTCTTCTTTCAAAATTACTTTAAATTTGTAATTGCAACTACATTTTCATCACTGTAGAACCAGTACTGATACTTCTGTAAATCCTAAATTCTTTTTAGTTTCATAACCTGCAAAACTCATGACTTAGACTACTGCAGGCCACTCTGAAATAAGATATGACTAAAAAAGATATGGATTAGAAGTTCAGTAAACATTTACTAAAATGGCTAAGTATTGCCAATAAGAACATTCCCCCCAAAAGGAGTTCTCACCTGAAAATTATTATAATCTCTAGTAACAGACATGAAAACTACACACAGTTGTTAAGCTTGTCCCCTTAAGGCGGTCTGTACTTTTTTGCCCTGTAGGAGTGTGACATCTTTTCTGACATCAAATATCTTAACATCAGTTTTTTTTTCTTCCAATCAGTTACTGTAGCTGCAGTATGAGGTGTAAAAACACTAAATATCCAGGGACAAGAGCTGGAAAAATAATTGTGTGTAAATGAGACTTCCTATCATTCTCCTTCTCACACAGGTAAAAAAAGTCACTGCACAGAAAGCTGCATGGGAAGCCCAGCAGTAGCAACCCTGTAAATGTTTAATAATGTAGTTAAGGACAGTAACCACTTTCATATTCTAACTCACAAAAGATTAAAAGATATGATTTCTTTCAAGAATTCCTTCACTTTGTGGTTTTCATTATTCTTTCCAGAAGCAGTGTTTTCGAGGTTTTAAGATAAAGAGTGAGGTTCCAAATCTGGAATGGTTTTATTTATATTGCAGTGATTAAGGTTCAAACCCTGGGCCTCATTTGTGGTAAGTCAGCACCCCATCACTGACCCACCCCCAGCTCACACTGCTGAGAGCCCCGAAGGCATTCATATTTCAGGTCCAGTGTGACTGCCATTAACTACTGACAGGTAGGCATTTGGCTGAAGTTAAAATGTTCACAACACCAAAGCTGTATGTACTTGAAGGTACTTTGCAAAGGGATGAAACACAGTGAGTTACTCCTCTAGATATCATTCCACAGAGAGGATCACTGTCTACTTGGAAAATCAATTAGGCGCCTCAGAGTGAAGACACTTGAGTCATGAACGGCCTCTACAGCCGCACAGCTCCCTGCCAGCTTGCCCCTCGTTTCTGTCTGTGCTGGAGAGTTTGCCTTAAAGTTCTCTCATAGTCTTGTCATAGGAACGACTCAAAAGTGGCTCTAGATATGGCAGAGGCGTTGATGTTAAGCTGAACACAAAGAGCTGCACAAAATTACACACACACACACACACACACACACACACACACACACACACACACGTGTTATACACACCCATGTTACAAGAGGGATTTATAAACTTTTATGTATCTAAATGTCAAAAACTCTGGAGGTATCTTTTCACAAGGATTTAAGATTTAAAAATGATTACATTTATGTGTGTGTGTGCATGCAGGTCAGGGGACAGCTTTCAGGAGTCTGTTCTCTCCTTCCACCATGTGGCTTCTGTGGACTGAACTCAGGCCCTCAGGTTTGGTGGCAAGTGCCTTTAATGGCTTAGCCATTTTTCTAAGTCAATTTTTTTTTTACATAAAGCATTTTTAATACAAAATTTCACCCTGTTTTCCCTCTCCCCCAAGTCCTCTTAGCACCCCACCTCCTTACCCATCCAACTCTATGCTCGCTCGCTCGCTCGCTCTCGCTCTCTCTTTTTAAAAAGGTCATTTGGGTACAGCATTGCCAGCCCTGGAACCAAACCATACCCAAAGTATTTTACAGGAGTCCACCTACTCACAAGCTTTAAAGACATCGTGCAAACAAAGTACATTTTATTAGTACTCACTTGCATTAATTTTGGAAACTCATAGATAAGACTATAAATTCTGGTCAGAGAGATGGCTCAGTGTGTAAAGGCACTTTCGGATAAGCCCAGAGACCTGAATTCAATGCCTGGAACCCACAGGGTAGACATCAATCCTCTGACTTCCACATGCTTGCT